TGTGCTCTTCCAGGGCTTTGGACATATTGAAATTGGACACCACATCTCCAGTGACGAGAATGAAGTCGGAACGAACAAGGGACTTGGCATCAACGTCTCGCAGCACGTCACCAAGGGAGCGATACAGGTCAGAAGTCACAAAGCGCACCATGTTCGGAGAGGTGTGGCGGCACCACTTGGATTTTCTGGAAGGAGAAAAACACGTCAGGAAGGCATAAAGAGGATATTCCTACAGAGAACACGCTAGGACACAGTGCCCCAGTGCACGCCACATCTGCCAGTGAACGCGAGGAGAATCCTATTACAACGAGCCCACTATCAATAGGCTTAGGTATGCTCATTTGCACACAGCAGATGAGCTGAAGAGGGTTAGACTTTGAGACCGTAGCTTATGGAAACTTAGGAAACCCGACTCCACTGTGAGCCAAGTTTTGACAAAGGAGAAGGAAAAGCTACACACAACCCAAACTTTTTTTTCTCAGAAAGCAGTACCTCAAGGCAGGGAAAAGACTGCATGCTTCTCTTTAGCTTGCAAAGGTGCTGTCTGAGCGAGCTGTTTCCATATGCTGCACGACATACCGAGACAGGGCATAATGCAAAGGGTGGTACTCTAATTTACATGGCTACCCAGGAAACCCCTGCTTTTAGACAAGAAAAGTTAAGTGCCAATACAAATGCAGTCCGAAAACACTCAACCCTTTTAATACACTGTACAACCACACTCCTTCACAGGAGGAACGGTCTTTTTTTGAGATGTGTTAGAAGACTTCTCTTGAAAGTGAGTCTCTAGCACGTGGTTTTCATCAGAAGGATCAGTGAGACCTTTGAGGCTTGCTGGAGGATAGAAGAATCCTTTCCATGATAAAGCTAAAAAGAAGAAGAGATTCTTACTGTAAATGCTCTTTTATCTCAGCTGACTTCCAACAGCAGAAAACAAAGGTTTCTTCCACTCCAGTTGCTGTTAGGAACTCTAAGGTATAGTCAATCATGGCCACATTTGCCATAGGTAAAAGAGCCTAAAAATAAAAAAAAGACATACAGATAGCTGTAGAAACACTCTGTACCTCAACATCGGCAACAGTCCCTTCCAGCTTGAGGACATATCATCAGTGGCGCCAGAAAAATAACACAAATAACTGCTCTACCTCCTTTTATCAAAAATTTTCAAAGTTGATCTAAACAGTAAGAGCTAGTTTTTGATCTTCTATAGGGGCAGATCCTCACTTCATAGAAGAAAGCATGAAAGAAGTGAAATTATCACACAACAAACTCTTCAAGATGACTCAAATAAGTGAGAGAGACTTAAAAAAAAAAAAAAATCCCAGAGTGCCGATTCCCTGACTCAGGCTTTAACTGCTACAAGAAAAACCTGACAGACATGAATGATGAAGCCACAGGAATATGAGTGTCCAGAATTAAAGAAGGGGAGGAAAAAACCCAAACAATCTAAAGTGAAGTGAGCATTCTCTTGAGATTCAAGCCACGCTTTTAAACCAAGTTACTGATTCACAACTGAGTGATCTCATACTATTCTTTAATTCATTTTTGGTGATGTTTTGTGTCAGGCCTGAGCTCGCGTGTGTAATTATGACCACCACAAACACTTAATCAGCAAAGGAGGTAAGATAATTGTTCAGACCTAAATTCTCCAGAAGCGCTCTTTCCTTTAACATACAACCTTCTGATCCCGATAATTAGAGTGCTTTCCCCATCCATTTCTCTGGCCATATTCTTTCAGCCATTACTGCTGGCAAGGACAAAGATGTTGCTTCTTTCCTCTATCAGAAACAAGCCTGCCCAAACCCGCTGCCGCTCCTGCCTCAGCGACAGACGAGAAGCAAGCAGCGCAGTTTGCCTTGCCGTATGGAAAAGCAAACGGCACCGACGCAGCGATTAGATCCTCGCTGCCCCTCCAGCGGGGGATGTAAGCTCTTACAAGCGAGGACAACCGGTCAGAGGCTTCCACAGCGCGGGGGAAAGCGGGAAAAGCCGCGGCGGCGGGGACTGCCCGGGCCCTGGGCGGACGCTGGGGCCCAGCAGCACCCCAGGACCTGCCAG